TTTAGTTTCCTTTTTTGGTAAATTTGGACAATTTGTCTTTGTGTGCTATCTTTATAATCGCCTGAATAAGATTTTAACGTCTTCGTCAATCTCTTTCTCCTAATTTCACAAACTTGGACTGGAAAATGGCATTTCCTTGCCTCAGTGGCCATATTTTGAGAATAATTTAATTTTGATAGTTCTATTGTCATCTTTGTGGGATTTAAGCCTTTAAACATTGCATAGAAAAGTGGATTGACCAATCAGATTACGTGTACCATGCACAGTTGTGTCGTAATCGTTAAACCTATCCTTTCGCACTCATTTTGCCGATGCTTTGGTACAACGTATTAAAACTGTATGATTCAAATTTATATACGTGGTCTGATATCTGTTTTATTTCGTAGCAAAATATAATAAAAATTTTTCAATTTTTCTTTCAGGACAAACACGATCGCGATGCAGGCACTGTCCGTCTGTTTGGATTACCCACCAACTCCTCTTAGAGTGCATTTCGACTGAGTGTCGTAAAGTGAAAACCAAATATGTACAACAGCCAATCAGAACATAGGATACTATTCAAAGAGCCAATTAGAAACGAAAGTAAATACAAGCGAATGCCTGAAGCGCGGGAAACGCTAGTGACGATTGGTTTTAGTTTTGAATCTGATTGGTTGAGAAAGTGGCGCGAATATTTTGGACCAGTTACAGAGCGAAGTGAAGCAAAACCAGATTTACTTGCGACACTGGATTGAAAATTGCTCCTGGTCAAATAATATATTAGTGAAATGGAACTTACGTGCAAACGCTCTTAACTTGTTTGAAACAATTTCTAAACGGTTAAGAAAAGATGAGAGGATGTATCCTCTCTTGGTTATGTTGTTATGTATATCTGTGCTTTTTTTTTATAGCCATTTGATTATTGCGAATCGCCGTGCATTTGTGAAATACACTGTTGAATGATATTATTAAATATCTCATGTCGGAAATTTGAGGAATCTTAATTGATTGTAATCATTTTATACTCGGTGTATTTTCTCTGTTAATTATCTTCCCGAGAAAAAAAAGTAAAAGAAAAACGGACGAATGAAATTTCTTACATTAAAGTCTGATTGGCCGTTTTTATGCTAGAGACATTAAAGTTGTCTAAGACGTTAAAGTCGTCTCAAGACGACTTTAACGTCCTAGACAACTTTAACGTCTCTAGCATAAAAACTGCCATTTGTTAGTAATTTAGTCAGTCAGTCAATTTTGAAATTCTAGTCACTATTTGTGTGACTGCGGTACTGACTGAGGTAAACTCTGAAGGATGGTGGAACGCTCTAAAAACACACATAGAAAACTTAGAATCGCACACGTTTGAATTACTCCTCTGGCTATAACAGTACTCTGCACTTCTCTGATTTTGTTCAAGTAGGCCTTTTTTTCTCCAAACGTTCAAAATATTTAGCTTGAAATTTTTTATGGAACAGCAAAGAATGTCAGACATATCAAATGGAGCCGGCTTCATATCATAAATAGATGACCTCATGGATGACAAGGGTATCCGTACCATGGAAATTAATTTAAAGCTGGAAGGCTGTCTTATTGTTTTGTGTGCAGCTTTCTCGCGTCAACGCAAGTAGAAACACTGTCTCAGGATCAGAAGGTTGGAAAATGAAGACAGAACTTTAAATCAGTGCCCACTTGATTAGACAGGAAAATATGCAAAGAAAATTGAGCCTGGTGGCAATAAATTGCACAGGTAATGAAATGTCTGAACCTGATGATTTGCAGTCCATTATCTTGTGGGCGTTTCATATCATACGAATGGGCGTGATGTTTAAAGATATTTTAACAACCCTATTGAAATTATATTGTGATGCTCCCCTAATGATTTCCGTCTGCAACCCCATGCTATTATTTTAACACCCTTGTTAAGAAATAATAAACGAGCGCTAT